TAGGTAGATTGACAAGGTCCAAAGGATGGATCCACACCTGAGCTTTTGGAGAAAATATAGACTCAATAGGCCTTTAAAGAAACAATAATAATGGAGAAATCAGAGTATAGTGTAGGGGGTGAGCTGGAGATTGTGGAAGTGGTCTGGATATGATCAAATCCATTCTGTGAAACTTTGAAAGAATAAATAAAAATATTTTTAGAAATTAAAATAAAAACTGCTGAATTCCACTTCTGTCTTCACAATATCGAAAGGCCACTAGTTAGCTGTTTGTCCTCCTAAAAGTACTGTCATAGTTTGCATATGGTTGAAATACGATTCTAAAGGATCATGTGCTAGAAGCTATAACTTGGGTGAAACTAAGTCTTGATGAGGGCTTGAGAAGTGGAGCCTAATAGAATCCACTTGGGGGCTAAGGGAGGCATATCATTTAATGAGATTAATATAGCTCTTGTGGTATCCTAATTGCCATCTGACTTCCTCTCTGACATTAGTCCATCATCTGTGTTTTTCCATCATTGTGATGTCATCACCGTGGTATCCTTATCAGAGTAGATCTCATAGTGTTGCCCTATTGTTAGATGATGAACTTTTGAGCTGAATAATTTATTTTCTTAATAAAGTTATATATCTTCTACTTTTGTTTTATTAATGATGAAGAAACTGACTACTATAATCAGCTTATCTCATCATGGAGGCTCTATGTGTATGGCCTAAGTAACTTTTTTTCTCAAATTTTATTTTTTTATTTATGTGTATATGTGTGTGCAGGCTTCACTGTATGTGCACCAACTGCAAGAAGAGAGCATATGATCTTCTGGGGTTGGAGTTTCAGGTGGTTGTGAGGTGCCTCATACAGGCTTTGGATATCTGGGCCTTCTGCAGCAGTAATAAGTAGTCTTAACAGATGAACAATCTGGCAACTCCCCATTATTAACATTCAGAAAACCTCCTCCACATGTGGATATTGGAAATTTAGAAAATTATTTTCAAAAGGACTAGAGCCTCAAGTCTGTTGTGATAATGAAGATTTTCATGATCAGGGCCAGACATACCTTTAATTCCTACTGCAGCAACAGGAGAATCTCTGAGACTGAGGCTACTAGCCTAGTTTACATAGTGAGTTCCAGACCAGCTGGGGGTACAGAGAGGCACTGTCTCAAACAGCAACAATAATAAAAATATGTCAATACCAGAACTTCATAAAAAAAGTCACAATTAGAAAAGTGATTAACCCCATATTACTTCTCTCCTCACTTGGTTAGATCATCTGGAAGTAGTTAAACTTACTTTCCTGGATTATGTATTTCATAGTTTATTTCTGTAATGATAAACAAATACCTGCATGTTTTACTGGCTCCTCTTCTTTTTTTTATCCAGAATACAATGGCTAACTATTAATTATTTTTAAAGATAGAATATACATAGTGATTAAGTGAAAAATGACTGTGCCGGCTAAGTATATCAAGAAAGACTTTTATGTACAAGCACTATTTTCTGTGAAACAATGGAGACAGAAATTCTTAAGAAGCAACAGTTCATGTACCTTTGAAATATCAATGTTTTTCTGCATATGTTTAATAATTAAGCTTTTTAATATGCTGTTAGTTAATTTTATTTTAGGTAGTATCAGGGTTTTTTCACAATGTATTCTAAACACTTATTTTTGTACGTGTATGTGTGTTTCCATATGTGTATTTATGTGAACCAAATATGTGAAGGTTCTTTTCATAACCAGAAAAGGCAGAGGTTCCCCAATAACTAGAGTTTTAGGAAGTTGTGAATCACTCCATGTAGAGGCTGGAAACTGAATCTAGGTCCTCTGCTAGAACAACAAATGTTCTTAGTGGTTGACTCAGCTCTCAAGCACCTCATCACAATACACTCTGATTCACATTTTATATAGTTAATGTTTATCTATTCAGCACATACTATTTCATAACTTACTTATTAAAAACCTTACTGTGAGTTCTGTCAGCAATTTCTGCATTTCTTTATGTTGTAACTTACACAGATATGTGATTTTATGCTGAAATCTATTTCATTTCACAATCCTATTTTCATAATCTGTGCATTATAAATTGTTTATTTTACAGCTAAATAAAATGTTAACTTTAATATTATAACAAAAATAATGGTGGTGTAATAGATAAGACCTTTGCCAACATTAAATATTTTAGCAAGGGAAAGAAATGTAGCTGGATATTAAAATACATGCAAAAAATTCTACAGAAAATACCAAAATTATTTAAAATAATCATCATGCTTAATTTTAAAATATTCTAAAACATTTAAGTATTTACTCATCAGTTGCTGTATTACAATTTACATTCTAAAGCTACATAATTTGAGTTAAAACAGAGAACTCAGGCTGAAGCAGTGGCTCAGTGGTTAATAGAACTGGCTGTTCTTGCAGAGGACCCAGGTTGGAATCAAAACACCCAAATGGCAGCTAACAATTGTCCATAACTCCAGCTCCAAGGGATCTGACAATCTCTTCTGTCCTCCATGGCTGGGCATTGTACAACACAGATGCATACATTATTCTATATTTAATATTGGATTCAGCTTAATACACACATGCACATAAAATAAAAATAATAAATTAAAAAAAGCAAAAACATTTTTTAAAAGTTCAGAACTCAAGTACATTTTATATATACTTAGTTGCATGACCTTTATTACATTTTCTAATCATGGGATATAAATAAAAGTTTTATGAGTATTAAATTATGAAGTCTGAGTAAAAATACATTAACTATTTGTAATTCTCTTTGATTTTAGGGTGAAATTGGATATTCAAAAGGCTGAATTCCATTGTTATGTAAAATGGTTACCAACACTTTTCATGGCAATGTATTTGAAATAGGCTAACTTGTTTATAGTTATATGTCACTTTGTTTTCATTCAATGATCATATTTCTTTAATTTCATTAGTGTGTAAAGTAATTGAGTCAACTTTAAAGACCATATACAATAAAATATACCTTTTGAAAATATGATCTCTCATGGTTAGTGGAGGCACAATATTTATTTTTGCATTTATTCTATCTTGCAGTTAATTCACAGCTAATATTAAGTGGTGGTAATAAATCCTTCAACATTTATTCTACATTTAATATTGTATTCAGCTTTAATTATTATTTTCTATTTGCATTGTAAATCTCACTTATGGATGAGGACATTGAAACTGGAAGAGACTACAAAAGTTTCCCAATATCATAGTATTGTCCCACTAATTAACTTTTATAGAGTATGTCCTTTAAAGTTTTTGCCTTATACATACTTTTACAAATGCATCTGGACTCTCCAGACAGTTTCCACACAATCAAAACTATCTGAGCAAAGCAAAATGTTTGACTTCTGCAGAAGGGTGCAAAGCTGCTCTAAAGCCAGCAAGCAAGCACATGCAGTAATGCCGCACTCTGAGTGGTCTGATCTCAGCCTCACATTCACTTGGCTAATTCAAAATGGCATAGAGGTTAATCAAGATGCAGCTTTTGGGAGCAGGATGTCATGCTGAGCAAAAACATTAGTCTTAGAAGAAAATTGACTGGGAGGGAGTTTTGCCAGATGATCTTGTTCCAAACTTCTTTAAAGACAGAATTTTTTGTTTGTTTGTTTGTATCATTTAACACTTTGATAGAAAAGACAATGAATTTAATTTACATTTCCCTCAATAGTAAGATGCAAACTGATCAGTTGTGCATATACAACACCTGGCCTGAATATTAGTTGTGTAGACTATGGGAGGTTTAATGTACATACTGTACTTTTATCATATTTGCTTCCTTTATGACATGCTCTAATTCTTCTCCCTTTTTGTCCTTGGTCCACATCCCTAATAATTTCCCTTTAAAGTCCTTTCCCTTTTCAGTTCTTTCAGTAGATTTTTAATCTATGAGAGATGTTTCCTGTGACCATCTCCCTTAGTTTATTTAGCATGATGATCTCCAGTAGCATCTGGCTTCCTACCACATACTTAGAGGAAGCATTTCATTACAACAACATTGACATATTCAATAACAATTTCCTGAGCTTTAAGGCTGCATAAAATGTGTGTGTGCGAGTGTGTGTGTGAGAGAGAGAGAGAGAGAGAGAGAGAGAGAGAGAGAGAGAGAGAGACAGACAGACAGACACAACAGAGATACAGAGAGAGACAGAGACACAGAGAGAGACAGAGACAGAGAGACTGAAACAGAGAGTTCCTGTGTGCACTTTTCTCTGTGTGTGTTTCCTTATGAGTTTATCCATTGATGGGCATATAGACTGATTCCATAACTTTTCTGTGATGAATATTGCTGTCACAATAAAACTGGATGTATGGGTGTTCCTATAGCAAGTTGAAATTTGGTTGTCTGGATTTCTGCAAAAATGCCCACCAAGTGTCTTTGCCTCTGGCATACATCACTGATGAATTTTCATCACCATACAAACCAAAAGATCACCTGAAAACTAAATTCCTACCATGCCTTTTCCATTTTCAATTAGAATAAAACCCAAAGTACTCCAGTAGCTCATGGATTACAAATCAGTTTTCTACCCTATTTTTATGGTTTTATTCTCTAAATTCTAATCACGATCTCTGATACATCAAAAAGAGTGCTCTTAGTAGAAATTAAACAAGATGTGTCCTTGAAACCTACTAATTCCTCCCCCTTTTAAATTAAATATTCTTTATGAATCTCTTCATGGCTTTCTTTTCAACTATCTTAGATTACCATGAATAGTTCCTAAACAAACTGCACTTTAACCGACCTCATCATTTCTTTTCCCATCACCCTGCATAGTTTGCTGTGTAGCATTTGTTGTTGACTGTAATGAAGTATCCACATCATTTTCTATTCACCTTTAGAGAGTTTCAGGGACTATACTGCTGTATCCTGTGATCATAATACATATTACATATTAAACAAAATCAAAGATTAAAGGTTGCAAAGTGTTTGCCTAACATATGGGAGGCCTTGGATTCAATCCCAGTGCCACCACGATATATATTTGTGCTTGCTTTGACAACACACATACTAAAATTGAAATGACACAGAGAAGATTACCATGGCTGCCTCTGCACGAGGATTACATGCAAATTCATGAAGTGTTCCATATTAAAAGAAATAAAAATGACAAATTGGGTTTTTAAGCCCTAAAGTAGCTAGTATGGTAAACATAATATAGGCTAGAATTAGTTTAGTTCTCTATCCTAGAAATATCATAGAAAATAAATAATTTACTAGCATCTGCTATTTATTTTAATCATAGTAGTGAAACTGGATACTGCTATTTTCTACAACACAGATAATTATATAAGATTTTATTTTCTTTTGCACATATATAAGTGTAAATGAATGCAAATCAAAAGCTAACGAAGTATCACCTTTATATGAATTATTGTCACCAATTAACTGCATAAGACTACTTGAGAATAATTTCAAATTTTTCTTTAAGATTAATCTATTGCAGTAAAAATAGAGGATGAGATGTAATGGGATTTGCTGGATTTCTAGCTTTCAATTATAGCCATTCATTACATGAACAGCTTTAGCTAAATATGGAATAATGAGGACTTTTAGAAAGCAGAAGCTGCTAAATATTCAGAAGATATTTGTTCACATATAAATGAAAGGTAAAGGTGAAGGGAATGATACTTAGCATATGCTCAAAAGTATTTAAAATAAAAATACTTTCCCAATAACTTAGAACCTCAAAGTACTTCTACAGATGAACATAAAATATCCTTTTTTCCTATTGAATTATACATACTCTCACTTACTGAAATTTAACCTTTGTTAATACATGAGAGACATAAGTTTAACAATTTCCTTCTTTTGAATTTGAAACTTCTAATGTGACATTTCAGAATAAATTAAAAGTAATCAAGACATTGGTAGAGAGGAAGTAAGAAAAAAAAATGTCCCATTAAACCCATGGCATTTAATGCTTTAGCCTACAATATGTCTTCTTCTGTATTCAATGTGTTATCTACAAAAGGCCATGAATATCAATTTAATAATGATGAAAGGGGATATTTAGACTATTTGAGAACAGTTACTATTACAACACAGATGGAAGCAATAAGCCATAATGTGGATTGACAAAGTAATTGTAAAGTGGTTTATTATATAGAATAAGAAATATGATTGAAATATATAAAAAGCTAAAATGTCCCAAAATCTATGCATTCATAAAATACAGACATGCATAAGGTGTGCTAAGTTTTTTGGGAAAAGTGAACTTGGGACATAGAGACTTAGATATTTAATAATTAATTATCTTGATTCTTAAGTGTATGAGTGTTTTAACTTCATGTACAAAAGTGTGCCACTGAGTGTGATGGCCCCAGAGATCAGAAGAGTGCATCAGATATCTTCGGACTGGAGTTATAAGCCTTGATTTCTATTCTTCATGTGGGTGCTGAGAAGCAAATCTGGGTCCTCTGAAAGAGCAGCCAGTTCATTTAACTGCTGAGCCATCTCTCCAGTCCCAAAACTTAAATAATTAAAGGATTGTTAAGATATGTTAAATATGCAGTAAGATAAAGAAAGAATAAAAAAAAACACTGATTTTAGGAATCTACATATAATTTGATGAACAAGCAAGCATATCATTTATAGATAATGAAATAAAATCATAATTGTGACACATCTGTGCTAACAGTTATGTCTCCTTTAAATTGGCCAGTATTGATGACACTAAGGATGGGTTCATTCTGTCATACATCATAATCACAATGATACAGAAAAATTCATAAATGTTCAGCAGGATAATGGGCAGACATAGGTTTCTGGAAAAGTATAGTTCACTTATTTTTGTGCATCATTCAAAGAAACGTGAGTATAGCATTGGCCCTGACCCCTTCAATCTGCTGGGTCTATAGTCAAATTTCAAGTACTCTTTGTAACAGACATTCTTGGTAAACTTGATGATGGTGGTATCCCAACACAACAGGGTTAGGAAAAGTGGGGTGATAATGATGATAAAGAAAGTTAGATAAACAATAAATATCAAATATTTACATTTGTATTTTATGCATAATATTTGTATTAGCACATAATATTTGTATAATATTATGTAATACTTGTATTGTTTTTCATCAAGATGCACCATATCATATGTAATTGGATATTTTTTGTCTGATCCATTTCTCTATACTACACTTGATTTACATGGGTTAGATTTCATAAGCTTTCTGCTTCCTTCCTTAAATTGGGGCACTCTCTGACATCTGGGAAGGTTCACCTGGGATTTCACATGGATGCTACCAAGACATCAAATTTATTTCCCATGACAAAACACTGATAATGTGCTTACACGCTAGGACAATGTCTGAATGTATTTTCACACTGACTATGGAGACTTACCAGGTCTCACTTCTACATACCATACTTTCTTTGAACTTCCCATTTAGAGCTCATGCACCAATAATTTGGATCATACTGTGGGTGACAGATTGAAATTACAAGGGCAAATATTTCTGAGATGAACACTAATTTACATATATTACCTCAGTTCTGTGTTCAAGGATAATATGTCAGTTGATTTATGTTCAGGAAACATAATAAAATCTTGGGCCTATGTGTAAGATTCCTAATAATGCAGGAAGATAAAAATTGGATGCAAAGATAGAGAGGAGGTCATAGCCCATGGTGTCACACTTCAATTTTTCAGTAAGGAGATTCTAATAGTAAAAATGTCAAACACTCACGATCTTAGGAAGATTTGAGGTCCAAGAAGAAAGACTATGATAATCAGGGTGGAAGTTTCTCAAAAAGTTAGAAATAGATTTAGCACATGATCCAGGTCTGCCACCCTTGGACATACACTCAAAAGAATCTATATCATGCTAGAGAGATACCTGTTCACCCATGTTCATTGCTGCTCTATTCACAAAAGCCAAGAAATGGAAGACATCCATCAACTGATGAATGGATAATGAACATATGGTATATTTATAAAATGCAGTATTTTTCAACTTTTAGGAAAATGAAATGAAAGTTGCAGTCAATAGAAGAATCTGAAAAATAATCCTGAGTGAGGAAACTCAGATTTAGAAAGACAGAGACACATGTTCTATCTCATATGGGCATGATAGCTTGGATTCTTTGGCTATGTGTGTTTCATTTGGAAACAAAACTAGTAAGGCACCAAGGAGGGTAGGCTTCATAGGAGGGGAGACAGAGTGTGATGATATAAGGGGTAGAAGGAAAGTGATGTGATAGGAAGAGTTAAATGGCTTGGAGAGTAGGAGGGCTGTGTAGAGGGCAGACTATGAGGAAGAGCAAATAACAATAAAGTTATTGTAGAAACGTCTTATGGGACCAGGTATAGTGGCATATTTCTTTAATCCCAGCACTTGGGAGTCAGAGGCAAGCAGATCTCTGTGAGTTCTTGGACAGCTAGTCTACATAGTGAGTTCCATGTCAACTATAGCTATATAGTGAGATCCTGTCTCTAACAAAACAAATCAAAACAATTACAATAACAGTAACAAAGTCATATGGAAACCTACTATTATTGAAGAGTCTTAGATTCCCAGCACCCACATGGATACTAACAAACCATCTGTAATTTCAGTTCCAGGGGATCAGTGCCCTCTTTTGACCTCTGGAGGCATTGCACAACATGGGTGCACTTACATACATGCAGGCAATACTCTCATATACATAAAATAAATATAATAAATAAAAATATTTATACATATATTCAAAGAATTTAAATGGAGTTACTCTATAAGTGTTGGAAAATGCCTTTACTAGACACCACAGACTAGAAAAGAGTAATTTCAGTGGCAAGAATGGACACCCTTTTTGGAGTTGTTGATCAGAGTGGTTCTGTAGATTCTCAAACAACACTGGCTACTCCTGTTGCCCCTGGTTGATCACTAGAACTTGATGGTATGATATTATGGCTGAAGACCCCTAGAAAACAAACATGAAGAAATGAAGCTGATGCTGACCTCAAAGCTTCATCATGACTAGATAGCTCTTATGGTGCTGGAAGGTAGCATGTCTGCTACCAGAAAAGAAACCATTAATCTTACCGAGGTGTAAAGTGTGTGAGTTTCATTAACAACTGGCCTGACAACATATAACTCTTGTGCAAAAATGGCACAAATGTTATGGGACTAACCAACCACTTTCCATTTTGATTTAAGGCCCACTTCCCAAGAACCCACATTTGACACCAAATTCAGGGTCAAAAAACAAGTCTAGGTAAGTCACAGGCCATATGGGAGAACCTAGTTCTATTATTTTTGTAAATCAGCATAGTATTAAACCAACTCCTAGTGCATCTCTCAACTCCCACCAGAGAAGTTTCTTCCTCTGTAGATGGTAAGTAATACAGTTTCCCGTAAACAGTCAACATATAAAGAATAAGAGACTGGAGTGCTCAGCTCTAAATGGACACCTGTATCACTCTCTGTCCTCCAAAGACTCAAGGATTATTGTGGATGAGAGGGCAGAAAAATGGTACTACTCAGAGGTGTTGAATGAATATGAGGAAATAAATAGCATTTATGAGACACATCAAGGAAGTTGTGCATATGAACCCACAATGACTGTGAAAGCATACACAAGACTTGTGTAAATCCAAGCCAGGCAGCATCCCAACATGGAATCTCGAGGTGGACAAGAAGCCACAGCCATATCTGAGGATGTATTGGCAAGAGTTTGCTACTGGGAAAGGGAGAATCAATTTTTTAAAGGGTGTGACATTGGGTAGTTTGAGAGGATTCAGGAAGTGGGACTTCGCCTAAAAGTACTTGAAGAACACAAACTTGACCCCAAAGGCATTAGAAAAATCACGGATATGAAGTGAGATGTGTTAGGAAAGTGGGTATGGATCTGAGAGGAGCTGGGGAGGTGATCTGAATATGATCAAAATACATTCTATGACATTCTCAATGAATCAATAAAAATATTTAAAATTTATTAAAAGTAAAAAGAACATACATATTTTTAAAGTACATTAAGGTCGTCTGAAGTGTTTAAATCTATCTATCTATC